GTCTTGTTGGGGCGCTACCTAGACATGGCTTAGTTGCTGGGTCGGGTTTCCCTAGGGGTAGATTCGGGGATGAGCGTTGGGGAAGGTCGGATTTGTCAGGGGATGAGCAAAGCTATGTGGATCTTGAGACAGTTCGGTGGTTTAGGTTCTTCCTGGTTTTTGCGGTGGCTCAGGCCGCGCGTGAAGCGAGGTTGGTTGATGCTGAGGCTTCGGTTTGGGAGCCTGATGATGCTCCTCCTGAAGGGGTAAAGGATCCTAAGGAGTTGGCGGTGTGGGCTTTGAGACAGGCGGCCGTCAAGTTGAAAAGGGCTAACATAGAAAGGGCTAAGTTGCGATCTACTGTCTTTCTTGCAGCTGAGTATCCAAGGGATCCTGCAGAGGGATTAGGAGTTGGGGTAACTGAGCTCAGGGCCTATTCTTCTCTTTGGGTCTTCCCCGAGGTTCGGGATATGATAAAGGAGTACGGGCTGTATGAAGCTTCTTTTGACCAGAGTAGGCTCGGCGCTGCAAGTCGGGAGCCGACGTCGATGATGACTACATCCTGGTTCCTCTTTGAGTCATTGCAGGGTTTATACGGGGATGATCGCGAGTTTGAGAATTGTAGCCGAGGGCGGGTTGCTTGGTCGCCTGGGCTGCTTGGTGTAGTTAAGGGTGCTTGGCTAGGCTGGATAAAGGGTGCTGAGAGTGATGCGGTTGTTGAGGCTCGCCGAGTGATGCTAGCCAAACTGTCCGATGCGGAACGAAGGCGGCTCCACGAGCACAACGATCATGTACCTTTTATGCGCGGTTGTCCTGTCTGTATCCAAGCCCAAGGACGTCAGCGTAGCCATTATCGTTCTAGTGTTACATCCTTGTACTCGTTGAGCTGCGATCTCGCCGGCCCATTTAGGGCAGGGCAGGGCTGGGACCCTATTGCATCAGGCCGCGACACCGGCCACAACTTCAAGTATTTTCTGTCATGTGCGTTTTCTGTGCCAGTGAGTCCGAAGGAGCTGCAGCCTGTGTTGTCTAAGCCCGGGGAAGATCTGAGTCTGTATGCTCCCTCGGAGGATGAACCTGAGACTGAAGGTAGGGCTGTCCATGTTTCAAACTCCGTTGGTGCAGAGCGCATAGAGGGTTTTGATGATCTCTTTGAGTGTCTTGATCAGGAGGCCACTGGAGGTTTAAGCTTGAAAGCTCTGTTTCGTAGGGTAAGGAATAAGAGGAAGCCTGAAGTTGAGCCTACTGATGAAGCCGCCATCTTCGCTGCTCCTACCCAGCACGACCGTAAGGATGTTGATGAAGGGGAGCAGAAGCTACCGGTCGAGGAGGTTAAAGTGACTACTCGGACTTTATTCATTGTAGTTCCACTTCGGACCAAGGGTGGTAAAGAAGTCATGGCACAGATTCAAGCCGTCGTGAATAGGTTAGAAGCCTATGGGTTTCCTGTTCACCGATACTTTTCCGACAGGGCGAAAGAGCTTCGGAGCCATGCCCTCGTGCAGTGGCTCCGCGATAGAGGTATCCATCCGTCGTTTACAGCAGGAGAGGACCCTGCGGGTAATAAATCTGAACTAGGGGTACAGCATCTGAAGCAGGATGCCAGGAAACTTTTGCGTGCAGCGGGCCTCTCGAGTGAGTTTTGGCCGTTGGCGATAATGCACTCGTCGCAGCGAAATTTTCGAATGTTGTGCTCTGAGTTGGGTATTCCGCAGCCTAAGTTGTTACCGTTTGGGTGCCGCTTGCAGGCCAGAAGGAGGTTGAAGAGTGGCCACAAGAAGCATTGGGAATCTCGCACAGTTTCGGGAATTTATCTCGGCGAGGCTCCTGATTGCTCTGGAGGCCATTTAGCTTTGATCGAGGAAGAGCCCGGAAAGCGCAAGGTGCTTTTGACCAACACCGTTTACCCTGTTGACTCGAGTTTCGGTCCCCCTAAGCCTAAGTACCGTTTTAGGACTAAGCATTCCGGAGACTTTGAAGTCCGGGCTGTGGCCGCTGCTGTTCGTGCGTGGCCGCAAGGTCACAGGCGAAGGACCAGGTGTTCACCTGGGGGGGAGTCTTTTGGGTTTTTTAAGGATTCGGGAGAGTCCGGGTTGGGTTCGCCGAACAAAACTGATGGTGACAAAAGGCTTCTCCCTGGGGAATTAGGCTCTTCATCTGAGGATGGCAGTTCGGAGTCTGATAGCGAGGATTTCTCTTCGGATAGTGAAGGGCAGGATTGGTTGGCCGATGTTGGTGATACGAAGATGAAGGTTGTAGCTTCGGATTCTGGGTTTCGCCTTGGGGATAAGCTTGAAAATGGGTCATTCACAGTTGAAGAGGCTTTAGAGGTTCTTCGGACTTGCGCCGGGAATTTGAAGTCTCCACATCGAAAGATCATGCTGGGCCAAGGGCGGTATGTGATACTTGGCTTGTACAATCAGGGTGGTTTTAATGGAGTAACAAGTTACGCTAGGAGGAATGGGGATTTGGTTAGGTACTTGAACAAGTTTGTGGCATATCAAGGGCTAGACCACGGTTATACTACCTTGTACCTGTCCCTCAATGCCTCAGCGCCGTTACATAGGGATGTAAAAAACGAGCACTCTGTTCCGGTGTGGATTCTTGCCCTGGGGGACTTCCTGGGGGGCGGTCTTTGGGTTGAAGGAAGGGATAATGTTGGTCCTGTGGTAAAAACTCTGCCCAATGGGGAAGTGAAGGCTGGATCAGTGCTGGATGTGCACAACAAACCTCACGTTTTTGATGGAAGGGTTTGGCATTGCACTGAGTCCTGGCTTGGTAAAGAACGGTGGGTTATCGTTGCATATGTTCCGAGAGGGTCTGAGAAGGTCATCGGGAATCATCTTCAAGAGCTTGAGGATTTGGGTTTTCCGGTTGGTGGAGTTTCTCTGGACTCTGTGACTGGGTCTGGTGTTCTAGGATCGGAGGCTGGAATTGCGAATTTGAAGTGTAATGAAGCTGCGGTATCGCTTGCCTGCGCTTCTCCCCTGGACATTGAGGATGATTCTTGGGATGACATTCACTGGGAGATTGATTTTCCTTGTGAGGTCTTGGAAAGGGATTGGCAAGAAGGGGCTGTCAGTGCGCATGTGGCTTCGTCAAATTTGTGTAGGGCTCTCACGCTTGAGCTGAGTGACACCAGAGGGGATGCTCGAGGGACTGCTGAACTTTTCAATCAACTTAAGGCTGCATGCCTAGAGCGGGATTGGTATGAAGGTTTGCTTTGGCAGGATTACCTTGAACAGCCAGGTGTCATTGTGCGGGCATTGAAGACCGAGATACCACTAAATGAGGGGGACGTTCCATGTGCCGCGGAAGTCTTTCTACAAACCCGGAATGTTAGCATTGCCGAAGCTCGTAAGGAGTTGCCGCTTTGGGTTTCAGCTGCGACGGAAGAAGTCCATTCTCTGGAGGTCTTGAATGAGGCGGTGCTTCGGATCGAGACAGCCGACATTGAGCAGTTAGCCGGTGAAGGAAAAAGGATTATCCAGGTACCTGGAAAGGCAGTGCTTACGAGGAAGGCTGGTATCGGGAAGAGAAGGTTTCGTTGTGTAGCATGCGGGAATTATGTTCCGGCTGAAGCCCATGATTCAATGAGTCTGTATGCCAGTGGTGTTGAAGGGCTCACGGTACGGACAGCGTTGGCCTATGCGGCATATGTTGGGTGGGCGGCGCTTAGTTCGGACATCAGAACAGCTTTTCTCCACGCTCCTCTCACCGATGATTTGGATCCCGAAGAAATAATCATCGTAAGACCGCCGTCATTACTCGTAGAGATGAAGATTCTTGAACCAAATCATCGGTGGCGGGTGCTTAAGGCCCTGTACGGACTGAGACAGGCTCCTTTGGCGTGGGCCCGGTTTCGGGATAAGTCTCTTCGAGCTCTTACCTTCCAGTGTGGTGGAGTTTGGTATGCGTTGCGTCAGGGGATCAGTGACGATTCGTTATGGTTCATTGTCAAATCCGAGGTCGCCGAGGGTGACGCAGGGCGTTGGCATGGAATCTTGATAATTTACGTTGATGACCTGCTGGGCTTCGCATCATCGTTGATTCTTAAGAGTCTCTTTGAGGAAATACAAAACCTCTGGCAGCTATCTGACCCCGAATGGATTGGGACCGAGGCCGCCACGAAGTTTTGTGGCTTAGAAATCCAAGCATTGGAAGGAGGAGGCTACCGCGTATCACAGCGATTATACTTGCAGGAACTTTTCACGAGGTATGAAATCCAGAGTAGTGCAGCAGTGCCGCTGTCTCAATGGTGTGACCCGGAGGAGGAGCATGACGCGAAGCTGGAAACCATAAGAGAGGCCCAAGCGTTGACCGGAGCATTGCTCTGGGCATCGTCGAAGAGTCGTCCGGACATTGCCTTCGCAGTAAGCAAGCTGGGACAGTTTGCGGTTAAAGCACCGAGCGTTGTAATCCAAAAGGGTTATCAGGTTTTAAGATATTTATATGGCACCGCTGATCTTTGGATTGAGTATCGAAGGCAGAGTGGTAACGGGTGGCTCGACGCCCCGGTACCTCGCACTTTGGGAACCCTGGAGCTCTTCACAGACGCGTCGCATGCTCCAGAAGGAGGAAGATCATGTCAGGCGATTTTTATTGTTTGGTGCGGCATGCTTCTATGTTGGGAATCCAGCAAACAAACCGTTTGTCACTTTGTCATCGGCCGAGTCCGAGTTAGTGGCTGTTATCGCTGGAGTCATAGCTGCGGAATCGGTTGCTGCAATCATTGAAGAGTTAATCTGCCAAGATGTGCTCATCTCTGCCCTATGCGACAACCAAGCTTCGGTACGATCTTTTGCTGTTGGGAGCCTGGGATGGCGAAGTCGCCATCTCCGCATGAGAGCGGCCGCGTGCCGCGAACGCATACAGGCTGGCTCGCTCGTTGTCACGTTCGTTCCAGGAGACAGCCAACTGGCAGATTTAGCTACGAAACCTTTGGGAAGGCCGAGGATTTTGTATCTACTTGGACGCCTGGGTCTGAAACTGGAATCAAAGGAAGATGACAGTGGATCGGCAAGAGCGGTTAGTCGCCTCTCGGTGTGTGGGGTTGGGGCTTCCGTTCGGGCGGAAAGGTTGGCTGGACTTGCCTTGCTAGCTGTGTTGCCTTCGGCTGAGGCCCAACCTAGTGAACCAAGAGTTGCAGGATACGACTTAGTTGTGTGGTTGTTAGGCGTAGCGATGACGATTTTTGCTTTGCTGTGGGCTTGGCTCTTAGTTTATGGTCCTACGCTGTACCCAACATCTGGAAGTGTTCTGCAGAGTGAGTACGGGCAACCAGGCGTAGAGGTTGCTCCTGACGAAGCTACTGAATCCTGTACTCCGTCGGTTGAGGTTCAAGAAATTCCAGGCGGTGTAGCCCTGAGGGAGACGCCGGAGGATTCTGAAGGGGCCTTGACGGGTGAGGATTCAGACTCTGATGTGTTTGATGCTGAAGAATGGGAAAGCTCGCGACAGGCATTGGTTAAACGGGAGTTGTACACCGGACTTACGTTTGTTCAAAGAGCGAAACTGAGACAGCAGCTTGTAAAAGGGGACATTGTAGATGTTCCTAACATGATGCAGCGTTATGGACCTGCACCCTCGTGGTATACTGGTGTTGATCCTGATGACCCCGGCCCCCAGGCTAGTGTCCCGACTCCGAACTTTCAGGTTGGGGGTAGTAGTTCAAGTAGCGATCCATTGGGTCCTGGTTTCCAGACTGGGGGGAGCAGCAGTGCTCCATCGGATCCTGGTTTCCAGATTGGGGGGAGCAGCAGTGCTCCATCGGATCATGGTCTCCAGATTGGGGGGAGCAGCAGTGGTCCGTCGGATTCGTTCTCTGCGGTTGTTAGCCGGGTAGTGGTTACAGATCTGTGCGAAGTCTTGGAGCGGCATTTGGGAGTCCTGCTGGCTCTAATAGGTCAGTCGTCTCCGAGTTGGCTCAGACTGAGAAGGGTTAGTAATACCTTTTGGCACAATCGCGCGCTGTGCTGCGTTGCGGAGCTGCAAGATACAGGGTCGGTACCAACTTTAATAGGGGCTGGTTTCAGTGCAACGTTTCAGTTTGTTCAGAATGGAGACCAGTTTGGTTGGGTTCCGGTCAGCCTAGTAGTTCAAGGTCAGGTTGAGGCGGGGGCTGCTTCGGGCGAGAGTGCTGGAACAGCAGCTCAACCAACCGTGACTGAATCGACTTATGAGGATCTCTGCGGGATTGGGGATGCTTCTGATGCCTACTTTCAAGCCGGTGGTGTGCCGTTCGGTGGGGATGAAGGCTCAGAACTAGGGATTGAAGGTGATGAGCAAGATCCTTACGTTCAGTGGCCTTTACCGGGTCCTCATGATGAGTGGCCTCCGCGGGATCCTGGGCAGTGGGAAGATGCGTTTAATCAGCTGTTCGATGGAAGTGAGGAGTCTGACAGTGGCGATTCTACCACTGAGCCTTCAGTTGTCGACGTAAGTTCTTCGTCCTCGAGTGAGTGTAGGGTTGGTACCGAGGGATTGACACCTGAGGATAGGGTGGAAGTAGGGGGTTTACCTGCACTCCAATACTAGGTTGGGCTTTTAGAGGGATATAGACTAAGTTCTGTATCTTTTGGTGGTTGCCAGGCTGTTGGATTCCCTCGCTAATGTTCGGGATGTCGAAGAAACCCGGAGCTTTCGAATATCTTTAAGAGATAGTCTCCTGTACAGTGGAGACGTTCGGAATAGGGTGTAGCGACTTTTGTCCCTGAGGACGTGTGTGTGAAGAAACAGACGGGTCCATCCTTGATAGCATCATCGTTATTTTTTCCAACTCCTATCACCTGACCTG